TCTCTCTCTTGTTCCAAACACACACAAACACGCGCGCGCGCACACAAACACACACACACACACACACACACACAAACACACGCGGTGTTACACACACAAAAACGAGGGGGACACCCCTGGTCCCTCGCCGCCTCCTCCTCAAAGCTGACGAGATGAAAGAGCAGCTTGCGTTTTTTGCTTCCTTCAAATCGCTACAGCCTCGCCGATGTGAGCAGAATGCCTGCACAGACAGCGACACGTAGCTGGTCCGGGCTTCAGCGGGGCTCCGGATGCCTCGGTGCGTAAAAAGAAAGCTCTCCGTGCGCTCCGGCAGCGACGGCAGACACTTCCCTCCTAAAAAATAATCAACCCACTAAATAGCTCACCTCACCAGCGTGCGACCTGTTTACACACACACATACACACACACACACACACAAAAAAAAAAAAATAGACGGGGAATTAGGGCAGTTGTTTACAGTGAAGGTGGGGGGCCGGTGCTTCAGCCGGCAGCGTCGAAATGCTGAATTATTAGGTGAATTATTAATAAAGCGAGCGGTGTGCAGTCTGTCGCGGAGAGAGTGGAGCGGCCAGGGAAGCAGCTGGGGCTTTAGGAGAATTAGGAGGACCAGGGGCTAAATCACGGACGGCGGGGATTAGGGCTGCACTGGCTCCTACCTACCGCCTGCATGTAGGTTTCAGAGTGGCACACTGTGGGCACGGCCGGGTACGACCCGAGCTGCTCCGAGTTTGATTTCCGTAGTGTTTGTATGTTACAATCTGAAGCAAAGATCAGGCGACAAAAAAAGGTAATTTAAGGAAAAAATGAACCACACCGAGCCAGAGATATGATCTGTTTCCATGCAGTTGATAACATTCGCCAAAATATATATATAAAAAAGCCATTGTCATTCATCAGTCACTCTATGATCAGACATTCAGCGGATATGAGGAGGTTCAGGTGTGTTTTGAAGGCAGGGTTGACCACATTTTGGTGGAACACGCATGAGGTTCAGTATATTCTGTTCATTCATAATGGTGCTCCATTTTCCAAGCTTTAACTTTAAAGCTTCTTTACACTTCACCAACACACATGTATTGTCACAGTGTCTCCCAACAGAACTGCGCAGTAAAGCAACAGGATTAAATGTGAGTGAGACAGCGCAGGCATACTGTAAACCAGAAAAAAGGAAAAGATCTGCCTTTGGGGAAATAACTCCAGAACATAAATTTAGCTATTTTCTTAATGAAAGTTCTTGTGAGGACTAGAGGCTTGGAGCAGCAGCAACCAGGAGCAACAGAGACGCCCAAGAAAAGAGTAAAACACATGTGGACATGCTCGCTGATTATTTAGGAAAAGGGCCAAAGGGAGGCTCAAAACGTCAGTGGAGTTTAAAATGAAGAAAGTGAGTTAGTTTGTAAGACACAGTTGCTAAATGTTCCTGGATGAAGGGGAATACGTTTTTGTATAAATGAATTTGGCCAGAAGGTTGCCACAAAAGGGGAAGGTCACAAAGAAAAATATGGCAGATAAAAGTGATTTCACCAAACCCAAGAGAAAAGAAACAAGTAGCCTAAAACAGTAAAATAATTTTAGAAAACAAGTTCAAATCTAAAATACTGCACCTACTCGATGATTACGTTTTAAAATCAGCCTCTTTTTGTTTCAGGTGATTTCAAATTTCAGGCCTCGCCAGACAAATGTGGATACTTGGTTTGAATAAAGACAACACCATGAGTATTTTCGTTCCTACTACAGATGCATGTGGCGGTATTGATCGTCGTTGTCTGGATAAATCAGCATTGAGCTGAACTGTGAGTGTAAAATATTCTTGTCTTTAGTTGTGCGTGTGTCGTTATCCGTCTTTTCCTCTTCTTTTTTTTTTTTAAATCAGGCGTCTAATGACATTCCTCCAACATGACGGCTTATCAATAATTCAATGTTGACCTCCCCACACATTTGGCCAAATCAATTATTCATCTGTAATTGAATTTGTGATTTAAGTTTTTTGTTTCAGCCTAATTTGGATTATTTAATTTAACATGAGTGTGTCCGGTGTTTTTTTTTATTTTTTTAAAGATTATGAGGTAACGGAGGCCGGGATGGCCCATTTACTCAACAGCAGAGAGCTCAAATGTGTCATTATTGTTGGTGTCATAGTTTTACTTTTGTTAAACATGGTATTCATTTATTAAAAAGCTGATTCTGTTAATTTGACTCCAGCACAAAGACCAATAATGTAGCCTAACTGTACTTTCTGCAGACTTTCACCTGCCCATTAATAGTCAAAGGCCATTTTTTGCAAAATAAAGTGAGAGATATTATTTTTAATTTCGATCTTATTTTGAAAACCAAAAAATCCTTGTGCAATTTCATTAATCTGACTGCACTCTAAGACTTCTCCCTGTAAATTTAAACCAAAGATTTACATTGGGTATAAATGTGCAGGAGCTCAAATGTGAGCATTTTGCCTTTTTTTGTGACACACTGTTTTGATTATTTTGAAATAATTTAAAACTGTTGATATTAGTGTTTGTAAGATGAACTGTTTGGTCATTAGTTGGCTCATAAAACAAACTACAAGTTGCTGTAGAGACAAGTTAACAGTGTTGTAAAGTAAAGCAGTCAGTTATAATAGTGATGAATAATGAAATAATAGTTGGTGTAGAGCCGAACATGTATATTAAAGTAATTATCAGTATACTTTCACATAAAAAATAAAAAGAGGATCATCGTCAAAAGCACCGAGGGTGATAATGCAATAAAAACAAATAACAACAAGAAGAAGAACAATAATAATATAATATATATGTATAATAATAAAACAATAATACGACAAATACAGTCTAATCCATAATTCTACACGGTCTGTCTGATGATTTATTGATTGGATGACACGAGCCCCAAGCGGTTGTATAATATTCACAGTTTATACCATGACCTTCCTCAATTTGTCTTTCCCATTTTGTTTGAATATTAATTCTGGTGTCTTTTTACAGATGCTGATGACTGGGAAGCTCGCACATGCCCGACGGCCTGCTTGGAGGATGACCAGTTGATTGGAAAAACACCAAAATGTGCCTCTAAACCCCAAATAATCCCACGACACGATTTTTTTCTTAACCCTTAATTAAACTACAAATAACAGTTTGTGCAGTCAGACCGCTCTCAGGCAGCACGACCAAACTCAAGCCCGGAAGTTGCAGAAGGCCAGACAGATTTTCTCCAAGTTTCAGGTAACAAAGCTGCATCCGAAAAATATATATACATTATATAGAGCAAACTAGTTTCTAGAACGAAAAAATGGTGAAGGTCTGTATCACATTGTGCAGCCAGAAATAATATTTATTAGAATCACAGTCAGACAGGGGTTTATTTTGAAGTGACCACTAATCAAATGCAGTTCGAGTTTTTTAAGAAAATTGGCCTATATATTGGCCTATATATTTTAAGAAATGTCCCGCAGACATGTTTCCTTAAAATCGAAAAACTACAGAAAAAGACATTCTGCCTTTCATGAGTGCATTTACCTGCAAAACACATCTGTGGGGAAACTGTCTGGGCATTATTTTAAAAATGTCACATAACCGCGTTGAGTTTATTAATAATGTCAATGTTTCTTCATGAGGAATTCCGAAGAGCAGGCCTAAAATAAATACAGGAACCATACCTGAACTGCATGTGGACCAACATTAAGGTATTTAATACTGCAATAAAAGCGCGTTATTTGCATTAATTATTCAAAACGGAAAAGTTATTGTGTAATTCATTGCGTCACTAAACAATGGTGGGACAAATTCTTTGAAATTCATTAAAAATCTGCACACTGAATCATTAATGCTGTAGGGAAACCTACTTGCATTTGTTTATAAATATCACTTAAATAATCATTTATACTCCCTTGTCTTGATGCTGATGCACCTTATGCTTGACCTTTCAGTTCAGCTTGGTAATAATTCCTATGTTTTTCCTAAAATAATAATAATGAAAATGTGGGATGTTCCTCTCAGTCTTATTCAGATCTCCTAAAATCATTTTGTTTACGACACATAAACCATTCCAACCATTAGATTGTTTTATTTGGTAGAGACAGTGGCCACAATAATAAAATATCTCACATGGTATGGTCATAAACTCTTGATTTTTATTATTGAAAAATAAAAGTAGAGCCACTTGCAGAAAAGTTGATGAGTTTTGTTCCTTTTAAATGTTTCTTAGAAGAAAACATTGAATAAAAATCTACAAAAAGATTCAATTGATATGTTCCAAAAGTTACAAAACAAACTGTAGGAAATTTGTTGGCGTGCATTGGCCCTAATCATGTAAGGCAACCTATAAGCGTCAATTAGGCTGAGCTTTGGGTTAATGAAAGCTCTGAGCGGTGTCTCTTACCACAGCCCCCTTAAACCAGCCATTACTGCAGACCACAATGGCTCTGATACCACACTGTTTTAAGACCCAGCATTATGTGGGCAATAAGTTCCCTAAAACCTCACTGTGAGAAGAGAAGGGCACATTGTGGGATCAGACAGGCAAATTCAGACAACATGGGAAGACTTTTTCTAAGTCCTAAGTGCTCATCTGTAAACCCCAAAATGAATAAAAATTACAAGTTTTCGATCCCAGGCTGGAATACAACTGTGAACCGTGATTGACTTGTTGAAAGTAATTATGAGAGAAGAAACCATGCAATACATTTCTGCTCAATGGACGGTATTGAGGTAAACTGTAGGAGATAAATATTCATTCTTATTAAAGATGGACTTGTTGCCAACACTTGTTTACAAGTTTAGAGGACAGAAGAACAAAAGTATGAGCCCATAACAGAGATTGTCTTATTGAGATTCACAGCCATATAAACTTTAATCAACAGGTAAACATTCTATCAAAGAAATGATAAAATAATAAATTGAATAAAAACAATATCAGGAAATATCTCAGAGTGTATTTTAAGTGGTTACAGAGAGAATATGGCTTCTGATGAATTCATGATGTTGTAGGCATTGTCTACCCGCAGGAGCACAAGTGAAACGTTCCCTTCTCGCCCCGAAACCAAAATCTCAATACTTACTTATAATTTATTTTTTACAAAACATGATGGTGACAATAAATTGTAGCAACAGGGTGAAGGTCAAACATAACAAATATAAAAATCTATTTTCTTAGAAGTGCTAACTAACGTGAGTGAAGCAGAAAGACATTCAATAAAACCTGAACCCCTAAAATAAAGAGGGTAAAAAAACAATGCAAAAGAAAAAGGGACCTCAACCCTTCAACCCCCCCTTTTTACAAAATGTAGATATTTTATCTACAAATGTGCAAAAATAGTCACAGTTAAACTACTACGGCACTGGGCCTAACAAGATCACAAAAAGAACTACGAGGGGTCAATCAAGGGGTCAGTATAGAGGAGTTGGAGAAAGGTGTCAGTATTATTCCAGCCTGATAAGTCAAATTAAGATTCATGTCAGAGCCAGCAGTATACTACAAAACACTGCAGTACAACACACAATACAAATAAAAAAATGAAAGGCCTCAGTCCTGCTGCCACCTATTAGAAGCTGCTCTGACTCCTGGCTGTATACTGACATCTACTCCCCGCCTGTGCTCACTGCTCTCGGCTGCAGTGAAGTTAGGGGAAAATTAAATACTCTGTTGGCCTTAAATAAAATATACTCTGTACCAAGACCATATATCAAACTCAGGCGGGAACTATTTTTTTCCCTCTCTCCAGTCTTCATTCCTCTCCCCGCTAAAAGAAATGGCGTGGAGAATTCTGCGTCGACATGCGAGAAGTGCAATAAGCGGTGGAAAGGGAAAGGAAAAAACAAGGCTCTTTTTGTCTGCGGCGGCCGAGGTTTTATCCCTGCATTGCCGAGTGTTGTCTAGCATTACAAATCTCAGCCCTGGCCTGGATGGACACAGGAGGGCTCTGCTGGCCTTGCTCACACTGTCTGCATCCTTTACGCTCTGCCATGCAAATAAACCCAAATGAGAGAGCAGCTGAGGGAGAGAGAGAAAGAGAGAGAGAGAGACAGAGAGAGAGAGAGACACACACACATTGGCTTTGTGTTCCACTACAGCGTGACTAC